CTTAAATAGTTAGATTTAATTACATATTTTCTTTAATATTTTTAGAGAAGCTTTCGAAAGAAGAATATGTACATTCTACATATTAATATTTTATTTATGTATTAATATCCTTATTTAAGTAGTCTATCATTTGTAGCGCAATCGGCAAAGAAAAATAAATTTATATATTTCTGTTGAGTCTACATAGTTACAATTAGTTTAAGCTTTTTATGTGTAGAACCATTATCTTTCCGATTGTACTATCAATAACGGAGTACTTTGATATAATTGAGTATTTCTATGTTTTTATAAAAAATTAAAATTATAATTCTCGATAAAAATGCAAATAAAACTAAACAGAATTGCAAAAAGCACCTGATTTTCGTACTTGATCCTTGCTCAAAAGGAACGACACACAATTTTCCTTTTATATTTATTCGTGTTCAAAGGTTCTCCTAAACCAAATGCCATACCAACGCTCTACCCGTCAATCGTTCTGCATCCAAAAGTAGTCTTTACCGCGAGTACGGTCGACAGACAATATATATTGTATAGGTATTTATTGATATAGCTTGATACCCGTGTTTCGCTACGGTATGTAACTACTTTAAATAAAAAAACCAAGTCGATATCTCACCGGGCCTAAGAGATATTGAGAAATCCGTGAAAACATATTACCTCCGTTTCACCCCCTTAAGGATTGAATTTTTAAAACTCCCTTCTCAGTGGATGCTTACGAAAGGAAGAAATATGCGCCCCCAATTTCATGAGTTTCTAGATTTAGTGGACATTTCTTTATAGATTACAAGAATTACAGATATTACGCAACAGAAAAATTTAATAATGATATATCGCTACACGCGTAGTACTGTGTATGTATATATATATATATGTGTGTGTGTGTGTGTATATCTATATATATAGGTACATATACTAATTTAGTAGGTACAGCGATGTAAAGTAAATTTTAATAGCTTAAACATGTATTAAGAATAATATTTAAAAAGTTGTATTGTTCGAGAAGATAAATTTGGAAACGGAAATAAATTCGGTAAACTATGCGTCTTTCAGTAGATGTTTTTTAAACAAAATTATATAAATCTTCTAACACGTTGCAATAAAGAAATAACTGAAATAATAATAAACAATTCAATAATATCAAGATACAAAACTGAAATTTAACAATAAATTTATTTATTAAAATAAACATATTTTAAAATTTTCAGTATTTATCGAAATTTTCCGTAAATTAATTCTTGTCTTAACTAGACATACAGACTCGCGGTACGATCTATTTAGCTTTAATATTATAGGTAAAGGTATTATTACTGTTATATTATTAAGCTTTATTTTAATATCTCTATGCAGAATAGCTAAAGGAACAGAATTACATATGAATAATTATTCAGTTTTATTTAGAAGATACTGATGACATTAATATATCATACAAAAAAATTACACAAAAAATCTTTTAATACATTTATTTCTTTAATTTTTCTCTTGAATATTTGTTTGTTATAAATTTCAAACAGTAGTTATTAAAATATAAATTGTATGTATATAGGACAAAATATAATATAAATTGTTACGTCATAGAACAGGCCTACAGCTGGTTTGCACATTTCAGTCGATCTTATACTTAGTATATACACTCTCCCTCCTCGCGTTTCGTAGCATCTAGGCTGTTTGCGGAAACATAAGATGCTTGAGCTCAGGGATGGTATTACATTGATGGTATTACTCTCCTACTGTCCTACCTTCAACGTTTAGATCTTCTCGTGTTTAACAACATACTTGTTTATTTGTTAGAATATGAAGTGACTTTCATGTACCGCATAAACAGTTGACGGTTACGTTTGGCAAATAAAATTCGCACAATAAAGATTTATTTTTCTTAACGCACGATTTATACTGTAATAAGCAATATATAATAATATAACGATATAATATACATGTATATCGCGGGAGCGTCTATATCTAAAAAAGAAACTTGGCGATACGGCTAAGGCACCACTTTGTAAAATAAAAAGTTTTTTTTAAATATTTTTTTGCTCTTTAAGGTTTATGTAATAAAGTTCTTATAAAAAGTTTTTAATTAAATAAATTATTCTCCTTAAATAAATTGCCAAAGTTAGGTATCATTTTTAAGCCTCAGAGATGATATATACCCCCTTGAAAAAATTTAAAATTTTATGTTTGCAATTTAAAAATGATTAAAGTTTGAATATTAATTTTTAAAATAACTGACGACTATCTTTCCAATATCAATGAATAACACAACACAAGAAGATTGAGACAAAAATTATTCCATATAATATTTTATCGAAAGAATGTTCTTTAATATATATGTATTGTGTCTAGTATATATATATAAAATATATATAGTCACTATAACTCATATAAATATCAAACCATTTAAATATTTTGTAACACAGTAGATATTAAATATACAAGATATTTTAAATCTATAAAACAGACTGATTTACCTTTGTCACGTTTCATTACGTTCTAGTGTATTTATTCATAAAAAAATAATATGTTAAATAAAGTATCGAATCTCTTTATCTTTGTAAAATAAATTAATAAATAACAATGTCGATTGCTACGAAGAGATACTTGAGATTAGGTATTGCACAATGCAATGAAAGTCTCACAGAACCGCTATACACGATCCTATCTATAACATCATTGATACTGGTAAATATATACACATATATATATTTTTTTAACAGCATTAATTGCCGTTATTAAATAGTCGTTCATGGTGGTGCCGAATGTGGAGGTTGGGGTCAGCAATTTGAAACAACACTGTGCTTCTCATCCGCATAATAAGATACCGTTACGACATCGCCACCCACATTAATGAGACATTGACCCTGGAAACATATTTTTTCATAAAATATACAACCAGCGTGGAAACGTGTATGCAGAAAAAATAATGTTTTTTACTAACTTGATTTTTGTGAGGGCTGTGAAGAAGCACACACTGCGTCATAAAGAACGCTACCATAGCGTTACCGCCTAATGCCGTAATGCCCGCGCGAACAATTGCCAAAACTTCCATTACGAAACTGTGGATGAAACCAATCAATCCACCATTCTGTAACACATCATCATCATCCGGATGTTAATAGTTGAATTTCTAACAGTCCGTTGAGATTAATCATCATTATAAACTCACTCACCTCCCGTATCGATGTACTTTCAAGAATGAAATAGAAATTTAGGTTGCATTGATATCTCTCTATCCTTCCACCTGGTAGATAAAATAAAAGCGTTATATCTACCCTGTATTTTCCTTTCAAAGGCACCTGTAAATAATTAAAATATAAAGAAGAATTAAAATAAAATAAATTAAAACATAAAGAAAATTCTTGCGTTTTTTAACGCTTAGCGTTATAAATTTAAAAATATACGTTGAAAACTTGAAAATATCAGGAAACAATATCAGGAAGTGCAAATATTAAATTATATATCATATATATTTTTTTCTTTTAAGAAAAAATTCTTACATGTTTACGTTAAGAGTAGTGAATGATTTTAAACGTAAAGGTGAGCGTGGTCTTTGCTTTTATATAGGGGTGCCACTTAAAGTGGCGGGATTTCCTATACAAGTGCGTGTTGCATTGTCAGATGTAACATTGTTCTCGAGATGATCCTCGTCTAGGCTGAATATCATATCACTATCATCTGACAGAGGAAATAAAAGAATTAATGCCTTTGTTTTAAAAGATATCGATGGCACTAGACGTTCAGCTAACAAAAATGTAGTAACTACATATGTATAATCGTGAATTGTAATATAAAATCCGATAATATACATATAATTTTCGATAAAAATGTAAAT